AAAGAGAAATTGCAACTCATATAGCAAAGGAACTATTCCTAACATATTCCTCTTTTTTCTCTGTTTATGTTTCTTGCCCCTCGCTCTTTTAATCACATTTCTCTTTACTTTATTTCTCATTTTGAGTTAGTTTCATTACTAGAGACATCACAAAATTTTATTTAAGGTTTTTATTTTCTTCATATTTTCATTGGTCACTAATATTTGTATCTTGATAAATATCATGATAACTTAGTTATATATACCAATTCTTTAACTGGTTAAATAAAAAAATAGCACTCACAAATTGTAAACCAAGAAAATGTTTCATTCACATACAAATACAATAATATAAAAGTTAAATGCTAAAAACTTAGATAATATAGATAGAAAATATCTGTTTGGGTTTGCATAATTAGATGATTGACTTTCCAAAATATCATTAACTAATTATAACTAAATTTCGGAAATTTATCCATCATTAATTCTAAATTTTTAAGTATGGAAATCTTTAATTCAAAATTGTAAAATATAGGATTAATTCTCCAATCTTTGGAAATATAAGCAATAATAATCAAGAAACTTGTTTATTGGTTGATTTTTTCCAACGGTAGGAATCCATTATTTAAACCTTTATGAAGAAAAATACTACTAATTTAGATTATTTTGGCATAAAACAACATTTCCAACCTTCTTTTATTTAACTATCTATTTTTTTTTTTTTTTTGGTCACGTAAAGTATATGATGTCCATAAAAGTGTGGGAAGATATAAGAAGAATATGATACGCCAATTAACGTGTCTTGTGAGTTGGTAGGGCCTATGTGATGTAAATCTCTTTTCATTTTTTTTTTATAGATCAGAAGCAGCATGTGTTAAGCAGACCATGTGTTAATACAGTTAGCCCCAAAACGTAGGCAAATTGTCAATGTATGTGGCATGAACAAAATGCTACTATTGCATGAACCCCCTAAAGGTATGTGGCATGTTCGATGTTGAATGTTTTCATCATTATTATTATAAGACATTTCATTTTTATAACTCAAAAGTTTTAAATCTGATTAATCTCTATAGTCCATCCAATGGTTTGACATAAGTTGCCTAGTATAACCTCCATCCAATGGTTTTAGACAAACTGCCTTGTATAGCTCAATGGATCAAATAAAGCTTGGCATATCATATGCAGCATAGGACGTTTGTTTTAAGTATTTTGTTATGAGAATTTGATGATAAGGTGTAAGGGATTCAAATAGCTATGATGATAAGGGATTGGTATTTGAATCCTAGATTGTTGTTTATCTAGATTTTTATTTTTCTGGTGCTAAAGTTGTAGTTTGCAAGAAAATTTGATATGCAAAAGCTGTGGTTTGCAAGAAATAAAATGTAAAATTTAAGAAAAAACAAACAA